CAGAACTCCAAATACTGAAACCAAAGCTCTATATCTCCCTTAAACCTAGTGGTGGCGAGCCGATAAATCTCAATAATCCTGGAAACTCCAGCATAATCTGAAACAGACTTTTTCAACTTTCTATCGCCGGTTGTTTTCATCTGAGCTTTTTTACGTAGAAGTCGTAGAGAATCGAGACTTTTCTCATAGTCAATGTATGCTACAAAATCCTGCTTCAATGGACTAGGTCTCTTCAACCTGTACTCAAATTTCCGGCGCTGTTTCACTATTTCCGCTATTTCCTGGCGGCTAAATAGACTGCGTTTTTCAAGGTCGTCGAGCTCAGGGAGCATACGCTCCAGCTTGAACTGTACAACATCCGCCATAGTTTTTCTTCTTCTTTCCTTTGTTTCCTCTTCTTCTTAGTCAGTTGAAGGAGTTTGTAGTAGAAACAGAGAGAGAGAAAAGAAAAACAAGCGGAGGGTTTGGGAAGAAAGAAGTTCGGGCTACATTTGTTTGATTTCTAATCCGGCCCATTAAAGATGAATATGGGCTTGGCAATCCTGTTGATGGATCTAAGTACTTTTTGATTCCCTAACCAACATGTAGGGGTGTTCACGGATCGATTTTGGATCAGTTATTGATTAAAATTAAAATCAAATCAACTTAATCGATTTTAAAATTCTCAAAATCAAACTAAATCAATCATAATATACATTTATCAATTTGGTTATTATCGGTTTCAGTTCGGTTTGGTTCGGTTATTTGGTTATTAACTATACTCAAAAATAAAAGCAATGGAAAAAAAGTGAAAACAATCCATTCAAAATGAAAAAATAGTTAGCGACTGACATTTTAAAACTTTCAATCTCTAAATTTACTGTGAAAAAAACTTCAAAATTCACCATTTTGGCCTAGAAGAAAGAGACATTGATATTTCTAGTCCCACAAAGAATTGTCATAGACACTTATATACATGAAACCAATAAGATAAATGTTTTCATCTTGGACATTTTTGCTTTCATAAATAGATTAAAATAATTTTTTATGAAAACGTATGTAAGATCCTTAAAATTGTTTGTAAAAATATTATATTATGTATGTATAATAATAAAATATATGTATATAATTTATCGGTTCGGTTCGGTTCGGTTATTTTTTCGAATAAAATCAACCCCAAACAAAATAATATAGGTTTTTAACAATCTAAAACCAAATCAATCTCAAATAAAAATGGTTTGTTCAATTTTACGATTTGGATTGGTCTTTATCCAACCCATGAACACCCCTACTAACATCGATTGTGGTGCAATGGTGAAACTGTTTTACCCTTAATCAGATGTCTCGAGTTCGAACTCTGGGTATAGAAAAAATCTTATTTGGAGCGTCACTCCCAAATGGACCGTGCATTGCACGATTTGGATTTAACCGGAGTCGGACACCAGGTGGAATCCCCCCTCCCCTTTGCC